TGCCGCCTATCAGTGCCTATCAGTGCCGCCTATCAGTGCCCATCAGTGCCGCCTATCAGTGCCCATCAGTGTTGCCTATCAGTGCCCATCAGTGTTGCCTATCAGTGCCCATCAGTGTTGCCTATCAGTGCCCATCAGTGCTGCCTATCAGTGCAGTCTCATCAACACACATCAGTGAAGGAGAAAAATGTACCCGTTTGCAAAATTTAATAATAGAAACAAAGAAAAACTATTTTTTTTAAATCTTTTTTGTTTATAGTGCAAAAAATAAAACACACAGTGGTGATTAAATACCACCAAAAGAAAGCTCTATGTGTGTGTAAAACAATTATACAAATAGAGTGTTGCATGACCACGCAGATGTCATTCAAAGTGCGACAGCATTGAAAGCTAAAAATTGGCCTGGGCGGGAAGGGGGTATAAGTGCCCGGTAGGCAAGTGGTTAATCTATATGTAAGTGATATAACTAAAGGTTTGTTGGGTAAAGTATGTCTTTTTACTAAACAAATAAAGTACAAACAGTGCAGCGCATACAATATATATAAATCAATACCAGAACCAATAAATAAATAAGATGTTCTGAATCAATATTAACATACAAATAGTGCTCATTAACCTCCCTACGGTATTCCCGAGTGTAGCTCGGGGTAAAATGTCTATACCAAAAGCGGTAACCCCGAGCTACACTCGGGCTTACCATGCGGCGCTGCATAGGGAGTCCCTGCAGCACTTACCTTGTCCTTGGCTCCCGCGATGTGTCCCCTGCAGCGTCCCCCCGGCCATCTCCTCCGGCCGATGCCGGCATCCGGCTTCTGTGTTCCGGTCGACGTCGGGGCGGCGGGAAATTTGAAAATTTTAAAAAAATTTCATTTTTTTCAAAACGATTTTACATAGTAAAACATTGCTGTTTCAACCCATTTCGCATACATTTTGTGCCCCTACTGCTTTGTCCTGTCCCCTGTCTGCATTTTGATTGTTCTTTCTGCCTGAAAACTTAGAAAAGTCCATGGCGCCCAAAAAGTGTCCCTTTAGGTCAAAAGCAGGTTTAGATCAGCTAGAGAACAGTGATAGTAAATCAGAACCACTTGCAGAATTGAGTGATAATGATTCGTGGGGAAATTCGTCATCAGTCACTGAAAACGATTTTGCGACTTTGCTCAGCGATGTGCGAACTTGGCGCTATATTTCAAATTTCAGTGTTTTTGGTTTGATTATATTATTGAATTAAATGTATGATTTAGAATCTTGTTCAGACAGATTTCAGTGAGTTATTCCTAAAAATTACAGCCTGCAATAAAAAAAACTACATATTTCCATGCAAAATAATGGTACCGCTTTCAGCACCAAAAATATGAAATAATCATACCGCTAGGGAGGTTAAAGTGCCACATGCAATAATATAACAAAAAGCCCTTCCAATAACAGTCCAATAAGAATAACAGTGAAAAAATTCCAAATAGTGCTAATCCCAAAAGGTGCTCCTCTCCTATGCAGGATTCTCCACCACTATACACTCACCAGAAAGCAAGCTGGTCAATAGCCTGTATTACAACAACCCAGGGACCTCCGTTTCTCTCTCCTCTAAGACACCGATAGCACAAGAAGGAGTCTGAAGAGAAGTGTTCACCACACAGAGCCCAAAAGATCATAAAGAGTGTAGTATATAGTTGTTGTAAAAGTCTGGATGAAAGAAGGGAAAGGGTATGATTGAAACCTTTAAATACATCAAGGGGACGAATAAGGTTCAGGAGAGCAGTATTTTCAACAAGAAACCCAAATAAAGAACACGGAGACATGACCTTAAACTAAATGGAGCAAAGTTCAAAGCTAAACTCAGAAAGTATTATTTTACTGAAAGAGTAGTTGATGCTAGGAATAATCTTCCAGCAGAGGTAGTGAGCCAGTCAACAGTAAAAACCTTCAAACATGCTTAGGACAAACATAGATCTATACTCAAAGACTTTAGCCAAAAAAAATAAAACAAATAAAAAAATAAAACGGGCTGACTTGATGGACCACTCGATCTTTTTCTGCCGTCACTTTTCTATGTTTCTATGAGTTTTTAGGAGAAGCAGTTTAGAACTCAGTTACTTGTGATAATCTTTTGGATAGTGTCCAGGGTAGCTCTGGTAACAAGGTGAATAGCTGTAGAGGTTCAAAACCTGAGGACAAAACTACCATTGGAACTGGAGTACTCTGTTGCAGTCATGGAGTGCTCTGGACAGTAGCTTGATCTTTTGGAGAATTTGCATGCTATTAGACTTTGCATACCTCACAACTTTCTGAGATGGAAATGAGGGACACCTATTAGCAAAAGTATGTAGGTCATAGGACACACCCTGTGCCACACACCCCTTAAAGGTGAATTAGGAAAAAAAATGTTGGTTAAACCCAAAAGTAGTTTTTTTTACCACTACTATTCCTTTATATTGGTTTGGAAATGTACAAATTCAGTAATTTAGAAATTGGATGAAAGGTTGAGCACTGTAAAACACTTTTTGATAGATACAGTATATAGTGCATTTTATATAAAACTATATAGATCAGACCAAAATGAGGGACAAATGATAAGGAAAGAGGGACTTTTTTCCAAATAAGGGACAGTTCCTCAAAATTAGGGACAGTATGAAGCTATGGACTTTGGCCCAGTTATCTACATCATGGTTCTGACCCCACTTAGCTGTAGACCATTTTCACACCTACCTCTGCCTGATAAGGTGTGGTTTCTTTGAGCAGGGAGGGAAGGAAGGGAATTCCCCTCTAGAAGGGAGGAAAGCAGAGAAACGCATCTTCCCTAGGCAAGTCCAGGAACAAAGGGAGTTGTAGGAAAAGGAGTTAGAGGTGCCTGCATCTGAGCATGAGTAAATGGGCATTCCGCTACACTCCATCCCTCTTAAATGTACTGTTCCTGGCAAGTTTGCAGACCATTCCAATTTATATTGTGCAGGGGCGGACTGACAATCCATGGGTCCCCCGGGCAATAGGGATCATGGGGCTCTGTGTCCTTGCCACACTCAAAAAAGCCTATAAAAAAGGTACCAGGGGCATTTCATGGGGCCCCCTAGTGACCTCGGGCAGTGCCCGAGTGCTCAAATGGTCAGTCCGCCCCTGATATTGTGCAAAGTATACAGTTAGGTCTCTGGGAGCACTTCGGGTGTTGGGTCTGGGTTTCATCTTCTGGGACTAGTGGTGACATGTCTTTGTCTTCAGGCCTATCAGTGCATGGCAGTTTAGAGGGCTTCAGAGCAGAAGCAAAGAGCTGAGCTAGGTGACCATTGGGCTGTTTAATATTGTTAGGATGGCATGGATTCTGCTGGGGGACTTGGGGATAATGGTGGAAGAGCAAGAGGCAACCATCATTGAACCTCTGGTTGCAAAGACATTTGTGACTCACAAACTTGGACAGGTTTTTTTAAAAAAAAACCCTTATGAGTCTCTATGTGGTTCTTAATGAGGTTGAGGAGTCTACAGTGTAGGTGTCTCAAGTTTTCTTGTGTTCCTTCTCTCTGGGTATAAAAGACTAGATTGTGGGAGCCAAAGGGATTGTGGAAAAAGGAATTAAAGGGCTCTGCACCCACTGCTGAGCAATGTCAGTAAATATGGATTCCACTACAGATTCCCTTGGTTGCAGAGAGGCCCTCAACAGTACAATATGCAAGGACACTGATGAGTCATGTGGAAACATTATTCTGTGTTACAGTATACCAGCCCTCAGGAAAAGCTGGGACCACTCACTCAGCAGTTTCTGCTAGTAGCTTTAACCCTTTTGCTGCCAGAGCCATTTTTGCATTTTTTCTTGGCTTACATGTTTAAAAAGATTACACAAAACCCCCCAAACGTTATATATTTTCTGAAAGCAGACCCCCTTAGAAAATAAAATAGTGGTAGTTCCAATTTTTTATGTCGCACAATATTACTGCAAAGGTCTAGGAAACGCAAAATTTCAGTAAAAAAGCACACTAAAGTGAATTTTAGGGAAATAAAACGCAATAAATTACCCACATTTTTTGATAAAATATAATAATAGATGAGGTAGCACAGAGTAAATAGATACCCAACATGTCAGACCTTAAATTTGTGTGCACCCGTGAAATGGCGACAAACTTCAGTACCCTATATTTTCTGTAGGCGCCACTTCAAAAGCCCCTACAGGTCATCAGTGTCGTGTTACAGAGGAGGTCTTGTGCTAGAATGAGTGCTCTCACTCCGGCGTGCGTGGCAATATGTAACATATAAACATAATTAATAGAGATGAGCGAATCGAACCTGGCGAAGTGGAATTCGTTTCGAATATCAGGAAAAAAATTCGATTCGCATCGAATCCGAATTTTAGCAAACTTCGGGTGCACGAATCAAATTTTTCCCGATCAGCCGGCAAAAGTGTCACTGCAGAGAGCTCCGCTATTTCTGACAGTTCTGACAGTTCATTTACAGCGGTTGAAACATTGTATCTATTTCAGTGATGGCGAACCCGTGGCACGCGTGCCACAGCCGGCACGCCGAGCCTTATCTGTGGGCACGCCAGGAGAATCCAGCGGCGCGCTGTCTTCCCGGCTGTAGTGTGCGTGACAGCCGGGTCCCAAGTGCGCATGCACAAGAAGCAGTGCTCTTTGTGAATGGTAAGGCGGTACCTGGGACACATGACAGATCCCAGAAGCCGCCGGACCAATCACAAAGCGCAGCACTTCTCGCGCATGTGCACTGGGCATCCGGCTGTCCGACGAGCGCCCACACTACAGAAGCCGGGAAGACAGCGCGCGGCTGGATAAAGGAACAGGTAAGATATTAAAAAAAAACTCTGCGGAAGTAAGAAAAGCGGGTACCTGTCAAATTCAGGTACCCGCTCCCCCTCCCTCCCCAAAGGTCAGCAGTCATCTCTGTACTGTCCGCAGTCTCTGGTCATCCCTGTACTGTGTCCGCAGTCTCTGGTCATCCCCTGTACCGTGTCCGCAGTCTCTGGTCATCTCCTGTACTGTGTCCGCAGTCTGGTCATCCCTGTACTGTCCGCAGTCTCTGGTCATCTCCTGTACTGTCTGCAGTCTCTGGTCATCTCCTGTACTGTGTCCGCAGTCTCTGGTCATCTCCTGTACTGTGTCCACAGTCTCTGGTCACCTCCTGTACTGTGTCCGCAGTCTCTGGTCTTCTCCTGTACTGTCCGCAGTCTCTGGTCATCCCTTACTGTCCGCAGTCTCTGGTCATCCCTGTACTGTGTCCGCAGTCTCTGGTCATCCCTGTACTGTGTCCGCAGTCTCTGGTCATCTCCTGTACTGTGTCCACAGTCTCTGGTCATCCTGTACTCTTCCGCAGTCTCTGGTCATCTCCTGTACTGTGTCCGCAGTCTCTGGTCATCCCTGTACTGTGTCCGCAGTCTCTGGTCATCCCTGTACTGTCCGCAGTCTCTGGTCATCCCTGTACTGTGTCTGCAGTCTCTGGTCATCCCTGTACTGTGTTCGCAGTCTCTGGTCATCTCCTGTACTGTTCGCAGTCTCTGGTCATCTCCTGTACTGTTCCGCAGTCTCTGGTCATCTCCTGTACTGTGTCCGCAGTCTCTGGTCATCTCCTGTACTGTCCGCAGTCTCTGGTCATCCCTGTACTTTGTCTGCAGTCTCTGGTCATCCCTGTACTTTGTCCGCAGTCTCTGGTCATCCCTGTACTGTGTCCGCAGTCTCTGGTCATTCCTGTACTGTGTCACAGTCTCTGGTCATCTCCTGTACTGTCCGCAGTCTCTGGTCATCTCCTGTACTGTGTCCGCAGTCTCTGGTCATCCCTGTACTGTGTCCGCAGTCTCTGGTCATCCCTGTACTGTCCACAGTCTCTGGTCATCCCTGTACTGTGTCTGCAGTCTCTGGTCATCCCTGTACTGTGTCCGCAGTCTCTGGTCATCCTGTACTGTCCGCACTCTCTGGTCATCCCTGTACTGTCCGCAGTCTCTGGTCATCTCCTGTACTGTGTCCGCAGTCTTCTCTGGTCATCCCTGTACTGTGTCCGCAGTCTCTGGTCATCCCTGTACTGTGTCCGCAGTCTCTGGTCATCCCTGTACTGTGTCCGCATTCTTCTGGTCATCCCTGTACTGTTAATTAGTTTGCACTACTGTACGAGTTGTTTTTTCTAAACCAAAAGCTCGATATTCATGTTTCATTCTTCTGTAGTTTGGCACTTTGAAAGAAATAAGTTGGTTTTGGGTTGCAGTTTGGGCACTCGGGCTCAAAAAGGTTCGCCATCACTTCTCATTTTGTTTCCATTTAGGATACAGATGTTTTTATTCGGAAATAAATAGATACAATGTTTCAACCATTCTGTAAATGTGAAGGAATTCTTGTCAGAGAACTGTCAGAAATAGCGGAGCTCTTGCAGATACACTTTTTTGCTGTACTGGAATACTTCTTCTTTTCATTCTTCTTCTTCTTTTCATTCTTCTTTTCATTCTTCTTCTTCTTCTTCTTCTTTTCATTCTTCTTCTTCTTCTTTTCATTCTTCTTCTTCTTCTTTCTTTCATTCTTCTTTTCATTCTTCTTCTTTTCATTTCTTCTTCTTCTTCTTCTTTTCATTCTTCTTTCTTCTTTTCATTCTTCTTCTTCTTCTTTTCATTCTTCTTTTCATTCTTCTTCTTCTTCTTTTTCATTCTTCTTCTTTCATTCTTCTTTTTCATTCTTCTTTTCATTCTTCTTCTTCTTTTTTCATTCTTCTTCTTCTTCTTTTCATTCTTCTTCTTCTTCTTTTCATTCTTCTTTTCATTTCTTCTTCTTCTTCTTTTCATTCTTCTTCTTCTTCTTTTCATTCTTCTTTTCATTCTTCTTCTTTTCATTCTTCTTTTTCTTTTCATTCTTCTTTTCAATTCTTCTTCTTTTCATTCTTCTTCTTCTTCTTTTTCATTCTTCTTTTCATTCTTCTTCTTCTCTTCTTCATTTCATTCTTCTTCTTCTTCTTCTTTTCATTCTTCTTTTCATTCTTCTTCTTCTTCTTCCTTCTTTCTTCTTCTTCTTCTTCTTTTCTCTTCTTTTCATTCTTCTTTCTTCTTCTTCTTCTTCTTCTTTTCTCTTCTTCTTCTTTTCATTCTTTTCATTCTTCTTTTCATTCTTCTTCTTCATTCTTCTTTTTTCTTCTTCTTCTTCTTCTTCTCTTCTTCTTTTCTTCTTCTTCTTCTTTTCATTCTTCTTTTCATTCTTCTTTTCATTCTTCTTTTCATTCTTCTTTTCATTCTTCTTCTTCTTCTTTTTCTTCTTTTTTCATTCTTCTCATTCTTCTTTTTCATTCTTCTTTTCTTCTTCATTCATTCTTCTTTTCATTCTTCTTCTTCTTCTTTTCATTTTTTTCTTTTTTTCATTCTTCTCATTCTTCTTTTCATTCATTCTTCTTCTCATTCTTCTTTTCATTCTTCTTCTTTTCTTTTTCTTCTTCTTCTTCTTCTTCTTTTCTTTTTCTTTTCTTCTTCTTCTTTTTCTTTCTTCTTTCTTCTTCATTCTTCTTTTCATTCTTCTTCTTCTTCTTTTCATTCTTCTTCTTTTTCTTCTTTCTTCTTCTTTCTTCTTTTCATTCTTCTTCTTTTCATTCTTCTTCTTCTTCTTCTTTTTCATTCTTCTTTTCTTCTTCTTCTTTTCTTCTTCTTTTCTTCTTCTTCTTTTCTTCTTCTTCTTTTCTTTCTTCTTTTCATTTCTTCTTCTTCTTCTTTTCATTCTTTCTTCTTCTTCTTCTTCTTCATTCTTTTTTTCTTCTTTCTTCTTCTTCTTCATTCTTCTTCTTCATTCTTCTTCTTCTTCTTCTTCTTTCTTCTTTTTTCATTCTTTTCTTCTTCTCTTCTTTTCATTCTTCTTTTCATTCTTCTTCTTCTTCTTTTTATTCTTCTTCTTTCACTTCTTCTTCTTTTCATTCTTCTTCTTTTTCTTCTTTTCATTCTTCTTTTCATTCTTCTTCTTCTTCTTTCATTCTTCTTTTCATTCTTCTTCTTCTTCTTTTCTTCTTCTCTTCTTCTTCTTCTTCATTCTTCTTTTCATTCTTCTTTTCATTCTTCTTTTCATTCTTCTTCTTTTCATTCTTTCTTTTCATTCTTCTTCTTCATTTTCTTTTCTTTTCATTCTTCTTCTTCTTCTTTTCATTCTTCTTCTTCTTCTTCTTTTCATTCTTCTTCTTCTTCTTTTCATTCTTCTTTTCATTCTTCTTCTTCTTCTTCTTCTTCTTCTTCTTTTCATTCTTCTTCTTTCTTCTTTTCATTCTTCTTTTCATTCTTCTTTTCATTCTTCTTCTTCTTCTTTTCATTCTTCTTTCTTTTCATTCTTCTTCTTCTTCTTTTCATTTCTTTTCTTCTTCTTCTTCTTCTTCATTCTTCTTTTCATTCTTCTTCTTCTTCTTCATTCTTCTTTCTTTTCATTCTCTTCTTTTCATTCTTTTCATTCTTCTTCTTCTTCTTTTCATTCTTCTTCATTCTTCTTTCTTCTTCTTTTCATTCTTCTTCTTCTTCTTTTCATTCTTCTTCTTTTCATTCTTCTTTTCATTCTTTTCTTCTTCTTCTTCTTTTCTTCTTCTTTTCATTCTTCTTTCTTCTTCTTTTCATTCTTCTTTTCATTCTTTCATTCTTCTTTTCATTCTTCTTTTCATTCTTCTTCTTTTCATTCTTCTTCTTCTTCTTTCTTTTCTTCTTCTTCTTCTTCTTTTCATTCTTCTTCTTCTTCTTTTCATTCTTCTTTTCATTCTTCTTCTTTTCATTCTTCTTCTTCTTCTTTTCATTTCTTCTTCTTCTTCTTTTCATTCTTCTTTTCATTCTTCTTCATTCTTCTTTTCATTCTTCTTTTCATTCTTCTTCTTTTCTTCTTCTTTTCATTCTTCTTCTTTTCATTCTTCTTCTTCTTCTTTTCATTCTTCTTCTTCTTCTTTTCATTCTTTTCATTTTCATTCTTCTTCTTCTTCTTTTCATTCTTCTTTTCATTCTTCTCTTCATTTTTCATTCTTCTTCTTTCTTTTCATTCTTCTTTTCATTCTTCTCATTCTTCTTTTCATTCTTCTTTTCATTCTTCTTCTTTTCATTCTTCTTCTCATTCTTCTTTTCATTCTTCTTCTTTTTCATTCTTCTTCTTCTTTTCATTCTTCTTTTCATTCTTCTTCTTCTTCTTCTTTTCATTCTTCTTCTTCTTCTTTTCATTCTTCTTCTTCTTCTTCTTTTCATTCTTCTTTTCATTTCTTCTCATTCTTCTTTTCATTCTTCTTTTCATTCTTCTTCTCATTCTTCTTTTCATTCTTCTTCTTCTTTTCATTCTTCTTTTCATTCTTCTCATTCTTCTTTTCATTCTTCTTTTTCATTCTTCTTCTCATTCTTCTTTTCATTCTTCTTTCTTCTTCTTTTCATTCTTCTTCTTTTCATTCTTCTTCTTCTTTTCATTCTTCTTTTCATTCTTCTTCTTCTTCTTTTTCATTCTTCTTCTTTTCATTCTTCTTTTCATTCTTCTTCTTCTTCTTCTTCTTCGTCGTGCCCCGTGACTGCCCAAATGAGTGAAGTGTGCGGTGATTCTAAGATCGACGGCACTCATCTGCATGTCATACTGACTGACAGTATTATTTCTCTTCCCAGCAGACTCCAAGGGCATTTAAATTAAAGGTACAGTGTTCTGCACTAATATAAAGGCTCTCTGAAGCCTAGAAACCCTTTTAATAAGTTAAATTTGCGGCGAATAAATTCGCATCGAATCGAATTTCTCCCGCAAATTCGGCGAATCAGCCGAATCGAATTTTTTGAATAATTCGCTCATCTCTAATAATTAACATGTGTATCACAATCAATGTTCTCACGTGTAGGCACCCCCAACGCATGCATTTATGTTCATACATGCATATATTGGGGTGGAACCTCAACATTTTTTTTGAAGGGGGGGGGGGGGGGGCATTTTATGTGCTTTAGTCGACTTTATTTTTTTGCAGAAAAAAAAATATTGTTTTTGCATAACTTTTTTTTTTTTTCATCACGTAGCGGACAAAAAGTCCCTATGTTTTGATTTTTTGATAACACATTCTCTTTAATGAGCCATGCAGGGTGTAAAAGTCCCTGTATGTCTCCTCTGGGTTCCACTCAATGTATTGCAATGCATTGCAATGTCCCTGTGAGT